CAGAGCCGTGGGGTTCGTGTCAGGGAGCTGAAGAGTCGGCCCGCAGCGCCTCGGCCGCTGTTCCGCCGCGACCTCCTTGTTGAAGGCTTCGGGTTTAGGGTTTGGGGGTTTAGGGTTTAGGGTTTAGTGGTTTGGGGGTTTAGGGGTTTAGGGTGTAGGGGTTTGGGGGTTTAGGGGTTTAGGGGTTTAGGGTTTAGGGGCTTAGAGGTTTAGGGTACCACCATGAAGCGTAAGGACTCATGTCATGAGAGCTCTTGAACCTGCCGCCCAAAAAAAGGGTGTCGATCCGTTTTGCTTAAAGGGTCGGAAGAATGAGCACTGCTCCTCAGCGTTCCACAGTAGAGCTATGGTATAGTATACCCTTAAGGCCCCTATACCTATACCTATATATACACATATATATATAATATGATATATATATATATAAGAGAGCGAGAGAGAGAGAGAGAGAGATCATGGCTGCAATGTCTCGCACGGGCCCGGTTCATTCAAATTCACATTTGCACGCGACACCTGAAACCCAGACTCCAGAAAAATGGAGGTGAGACAGTTGATGATATAAATCCTGCATTACCTTAAGGACCCTAAACTATAGGAATTATGGCATGTTCCTTATTTTGCGTAATGCAGGATTTATACCATCAACCGTATCGCTATCATGTTTGTAACCCTTCCCCAAAGTCACACTGTAAATGCATCGCGAGATGCTCTTCATAGGTCGAAACACCTTCTGCCAGGCCAATTCCAGCTGGACCATAGAAAACCATGTCCTCTGTCTGCTGAGGCTACCCGAAATCCTAAACTGCCCTAAACCCTGCAGCCTGAACCCTAAACCCCCAAACCCCAAAATCCAAACCCTAAACCCTGAACCCTAGACCCGGAACCCCTAAACCCCTAAGCCCTAAGCTCTTAAACCCTAAACCCTAAACCCTGATAAACCCTGAAACCCTAAACCCCAGAACCCCTAAACCCCAGAAGCCAAAGCGCTTTCAAAAGAGGTCTGGGGCCATGGAGGCATGATGCGGCAGACTTCAGCATGGTCTCTAAACATTTCTAAACTTGTAGGGCTTTGATGGTTTAAGGTTTAGGGGTTTAGGGGTTTCGGGTTTAGGGTTTAGGATTTAGGGGTTCAGGATTTGGGGTGGGTTCGATTTCTGGACTTTACAAACTTTTGGCCCGAAAGCATCTTGAGTGTAGGGTTTGATGCGAGAACCTTCTGGGAAACCCCGAAGATCGCCTTCAAACGCAAGGGCGGCACCTCTCTGGCTTTGGCGAGAGACAGATAAGGCAAAAATGTCACAGTACAGGACACTTTGCTTGGTACTCTGGCCCACCGAAAATGACTCGGTTGGGTTCACCGGAAACGGCCGAAATTTACAAGCATGGAACTGCACACCGGGCCTAAACCATTCAAGGATGGCACAGTTCGGTTTAGGGCTTAGTGCCCAAGAATGAGCCTTCGATCCGGCGCATGACCCCCAAACATCCCAAGGCCACTAATAAATCTCATCGGTTCCTGTCCTTGTGCCAATGCTCATCGGCCTGCAGCAGATCTTAAACCCTTTTTGTGCACTTCTTTGGCTTCAGGGCTTTGGGGCTTTAGGGTTTACGGGGACCCCTCAACCCTAAAGCCCTAACCCTAACGGCTTCGAAGCCAAACAATAAAACAAATCATCTTCGAACCCATCCCGGCATTGGCTATGCTTCTTATAACGCTTATGAGCGCGTTATGCTTCGATGATATAGGGACTCGAGCAAATTAGAACCCTACAGTATTCTTTAAAGGGGACCCTATTGTCGAACCCAAAAGTACCATCGTATCCTTTATAAGGAACCCTATAGTAGAAACCTTTTTCATCCTTCTTAAAGGGTTTAGGGTAGTCCATTAAGGGGAAATTCGGCGAAAACCGAGTCCAATAATGTGCCTGAACTCTCATGGGTTTTGGTCTATGGTTTAGGGTTTAGGGTTTCGGTTTAGCATGGTTCTGGGTTTCCGGTCAAACAAGTCGATGCCGCATGATGATGGCTGAAAGCAAACTCGACCCATAAACTTCAAAGGCGGAAACGAAAAAAAAAACAACAAACTCTAAACCCTAAACCCTAAACCCGAAAAGAAAAACAAGCAACAAACGCAACAAACTTGTCCGAGCAGCTCTGCCGCTGCCAGCCCAGTCCCGATGCAGCGCAGCGCGTGCCAGGCGGAACGCCTCTCCTCTGGATCCAATAAGTTTCCATGTGTATATAAGCCCATAAACCCTAAACCCTCTGTGTGTGTATATATGTATGTATGTATGTATGTATGTATGTATGTATGTATAAGCATCTCGGCTTCAATGTGGAGCATCGCTGAAAGGGCGAGTGCTCGTGTCAGGAGCTGGCTGTGCGAGGGGTGGGGTTCCGTTCTTGGGAGTCTTGCTGTTGGAGTTATCAGAGTGCTCAGGCTGGTGTTGTTCGTTCAGGGACCAGACATGCCATGGCTCAGCCCATGGTTTTGTGTGCTGTTCATGGCAGCAACAAGTGCCCCCGGCGTTTTTCAGAGGCCGACCCGCTGGGAGATTTCACTTTGCGTTGGGTGCTGCAAGAGCTATTTGTGGAGTGGCTGCCACAATGCTTCAAGCTGCAACTACTGTTCAGGGCCAGATGCGAGGATCGTTGGAAGGGAGCTTCAGCATTTGAAATCCTATACGAGGGATGGTGAATGCTTCGGCCTGCCTCGCAAGGGCGAGTGCTGCGTGAGCTGTCCTGGTTTGATCCTGATTTTTGCAGGGCAATGTTGTGTGCTTGCTGCGTTCGCAGCAACCCTTCATTGGATGAGATGGACTAGCAGCAAGCAGCTACCACGCATGTGGCTTCATGTTCGACGGTCTCTTCGTGGGGCTTATAGGCTGCATTGCGAGTCATGGCATCAGGCGGGCTCCTTCCTTGAGCAGGTTGTGGGGATCATTTTCGTTCCGCTGCTCGTGCTGATGAGTGTGGCTGGTGGCCTCGTGTATGTACACGGCATCCTTGCATCACAGTACTCTCGATGCTTCGTTCGTACCTGGAGAGGAGTTAGAATGCTCATGCAACATCCCGTGATAGCCAGCAGGGGCAGACCTCACGAGGCAGCTGGCTCCCAGGTTAATCGCAGGAGGCGCCCCCCTTGGAGTCTCATGGCCCTGGCCCTGGCTTTGCCCCCGGATACTCATCACGTGCCCTTTCCTGTTCTTGCACAGTGCAGAGTCAGCAGTCCTTTCTCGACTGAATTGCTACTGCAGCATGCTCACTCAGCTGTGGACTTTGCATAATGTTGTTCGAGGGGCTCAAGCTGCTCAGGCTAGTGGGCAGGATTGCCTCACACCAGTGAGGGCAGGGATTCCGCATATGGTGGAACGAGCACCTGGGGGGGATGACTCCTCGGATGAGTTTTTGAATGCCCTGGAGCCCTCGGAAGGCGAAGATGGGGCAGGCGGCATGACTCGGGCAACCAGCACGTGATGGCCGGCTATGACTGAAGAGCGAATCATCTTCGACAGGCTGGGACGACGTGTTCATGAACCCGCAGAACCTCCCCTGCCAGCGCGTCCAGAGAGCGATGAGGAGGCTAGCTCAGAGGGCTTGGCTCCTGAGCTGCTTTCGAGCGGCTCCTCTGTGGAGCTCCCGCCGGGAGCCCCACCGGCGGGTGCGCCGCCACCCGTGCCGATCCAGTTCACGGAGGCGATTGCCACGAGGGTAGCACAGGCTGTCAGCAATGCCATCCCCCTCACGGAGGGCAAGATTCTGGCCCTGATCCCGCCAGACTGGCAGAACATGCGCAACATTACCCTGAGCATGCGAGCTATGACCCCAGGAGAATGCTTCCATCCTCACACGGTGCACGTCTCCGACGACTTCATGGCCTTACCTGCTGAACCTGAAGGTCCTACAGTTCCTGGTCCAGCTCGGAGCTCTGGCGACAGAGCACGGTTGACAACTGAGGAAGTTGATGAGGCCATCGCCGACTTGGAGGTGTCTACCATGATCGACGCCCTGGAAGACGAGGAGGCGGCCCACCCAGATCTCCCTGAGGAGATGGAAACGGGTCTGGACACAACCAGCACCCCAGTGCCCACTACTGAGGCATCTTCCGCCGCGGAGCATGGGAGCATTGCCTCCAGCATGGCTGACTCAGCTGGAATGGTGGCTACCGGGACTCCTATGCCTACCCCTGCCTCCACAGCTTCTTCGTCCCGAGAATCAGGACGCGCGGCATCCAGCATGATCTCCTCCTCCGGACCCTTGAGGGCACCGAGCTCCACAAACCATCCGTCTCAGAAGAACCGCAAGCACCGACCTCACTTGCGGGGTTTAGGGTTCTTTCGCTTTGCAGTGGCACTTCAATGGGGACTCTCCTCGTTATCACTTGTATGCCCAGGCGCCACCATGCAGACTTGGCGTAGTGAGGGGGAATCGGTCTTGTTGTGGGCAGTTGGCCCACCTGAGCCACCTGAGCCACGGCTCAGCTGGAATGGCACATGTCAGGGCAGCCTCACTACTCGGATTTTGAGCTGCGGGATCAAAACGAAGTGCGACCTCGGGATCAATCGTCTGGTGCGTGCACGCTACTGCATACCTCGGCCTTGACTGCTACCCACTGGGCGGCCAGGTACCGAACCACGACCTCCTTGTTGGCAATGTCGGCAGCCTTGCTCCTGCTTCTCCTGCTACTTTGTGAGCTTGCTTGGCAACAACTTGTCTCATTACCCAGGTCCGCCCAGCTCCTCGACCAGTTCAAGATTTACCAGGCACCATCACGGCAACCTTCTTCGGTTGACTCAGCTTGGCCTTGTTGTTCGTGGCACACAGGTCAGCTTGGATTGCCACAGACCTTTCTCGATATCTCCTACCGAAGCCGTCCGGGTCCCAAGTCCCGGAACTGCAGCACTGGTACAGCCTCTGTCTTTAAGTTCATGCTGTTCGTTCTTCTTCTAGGCCTTCAACTTTCCCAAGCTGCTGCAGTAGATGTGAGGGTTGGATCCCAACCACACCGAAGGGATCCGGGAGCACCACACCAAGCTCCACACGAGACCGTGGAGGCGAAGTCAGGTGATTCTCGACATTGTGACTCTCGCCACAATTTTCCGCCCAGGGTGACTCCTCAGAAAAGAGCTTTACGTAGGGCCATCCACAGGGCATCTCAGAACGAAGACCATCATACATGGTACCGGGGCAAAAGACTACACCTGAATACTCTCCAAGCAGGCGGGAACGCCTCCAAAGCCGGGCGAGGGCATGGACCTCCGTCAACTCCGAACAGGACAAGCAGGCAGCTCCCGGACCGAGCAGCTTCACGGCTGAGGGTGGTATGCTGGAATTGCGGGGGGTTGTCTTCCACATTGTATCAGGAGGTGCTCCTGTGGCTACATGACGAGGAACAGGCCGGGCGACCAGTGGATATCATCAGCATCGCTGAAACTTGCTGGCGTGAGGAGTTTGAGTTTCAGACTCAGCCGATGGCAGGGTCCAGCTCTCGGTGGTTTGCGGTTCACTCGGGTGGTAAGGCCAAGGATGGCATACTCTGCCTAATCAGGTCTACCTTGGTACCGGCAGATTGTGTACGGTATCGTGCTCTACTTGATGGGCGATTACTACACGTACGACTCTTACTGCAGGTTCCTCTAGATATCCTCTGCACCTGCCAATACGCGTGGAATCCCCAGAAGACCACGCTCGATCCCTCGCACAAGGTGGATCAGTTGGTTCGACAACGGGCCAGAGTATGGCAACACATCTCCACGTGGATCTCTCTGACTCCACGTAGGCATGGCCTCCTCTTGCTTGGGGACTTCAATTGTCCCCTGATCCATGACCCCCCTGTGTGTGGGCCAGGATTGGTTCCTAAAGCTGCTCATCCCCACCGAGACCAGGCGGAGTTTCAGACCTTGCTTCGTCTTGCCAATGGTCGGGCCCTCAACACATGGTCTGCCCCTGGTGTATCAGCGCGAACCTTTCTTTCTCCACATGCAGATGACAGCTCGCTTGGCACGCAAATTGACTATATCATCGTGCGAGAGAACCTCTGTGACCAGGTCGCCAGACAAACCAGGCCCATTGACGCTCCCTTCGTTCCGAGTAGTGGGTGCAGGCACGTGGGACGATCCCATTGCCCTCCCTGCCGAAGCCTAAGAACGTCAGACCCACAAGAAGTGTGCCGACTCGGGTTCAAGCTGAGCTCAGGGTGCCGGGCAAAGTTCAGGCTCTACGGCACCACACCGACCTCCTCATGCAGCACGCTCAGCTACCACTCTGCGACCTGGACTCGATCCTCTCCCAAGGTTGGCAGCTGGCTGAGAAGGAGGGAAAGCTCACCAGACAGGCAGAGGATGTAGTCCACCGTGATGAGGCGGAGGTGTCCACCCTGCAGCTGGTCAGGAGATTGTGGCTCATCAGAGCGCATATTCGGGACTGCTCCAGGCAGGCTGCATCCAGAGGTGAACCACCAGATCTTGCGAACTTATGGGCAGGTTGGCGACGGGTGTGTCTTCTTCAGACCACACAGCGAGAACTTCGACGGCGAGGCCGTCGTAAGAAGATTGATCAAGTGGCCAAAGTGGTTGCACCAGCCGCTGTGTGGAAATTCCTGCAGGACATGCTGACCCCTCTGGTGGTTCGACAACTGCACCTGACCTTCCAGCCTGGACCCCTTCGCCTTCCTCGCTCCTGGTGTCTGAGCGAATTGGTTCTGATTCCGAAACCTGGCAAGGCTCTTACCTCGGTTAGCCAGCTCAGACCGATTTGTCTGCTCAGTCCCATGGCTAAAATCCTCGCCTCGATCCTGGCTGAGAAGATCGCTCCGTTTGTCTCCCAGTATCTCCGGGCTATCCCTCAGTATGCCTATACTCAGGGAAGAGCCCTTCCTCAGGCTCTGGAGAGAGTTTGTGGACATCTTGCTGCCGTTCGCACCCTCCTGGCGGCACATAGCCGTACACCATATGCCAGGCCTGGTGGTAGTGTTCATAAGCAGGTGGTAGGAGGACTCATCCTCTCGCTGGACATATCACACGCATATGATGCCGTGGGGCGGAGTCTGCTAGATCGTGTGCTTCAGGATGCTGCCATTCCAGGCCCCATCAGAGAGGCTATCATTGCGGTTCACAACCAAGCTCTGATTCACGTGGCACACAGAGATCAGCAAGACAATGTCCCCCTGCGTACCGGTTTGCGCCAAGGCTGCAGCTTGTCACCAGCCCTTTGGGCTCTGGTGACTGGCTGGCTTCTCAGAAACATTCCTGGCATCCCGACGTCAGAGATATCCCAATGCAATACCTCATTTGCAGATGATCTACTGTTCCAATGGGAGATCGACCCCGGCCGTGCTCTTGAGAAGACCTACGAGAAAGTGAAGAACATCTTGACATACCTTTCCTCCCAAGGCCTGGAGGTGAGCTTCTCGAAGACGGTAATCTTACTGGAGCTGCGTGGAGCCAAGGCGGTGAACACTCTTAAGCGCTACACTGTGCTACTCCCGGATGGGCCCCACATGCGCTTCATGATTAATAATCAAAGAGTTGATGTTCGCATTGTCACCAAGCACGTGTACCTTGGAGTGGTCATAACTTACAGGAAGTTTGAGATGGATACCGTCAAACATCGTTTGGACATTGCCAAGGGGCAGTTCGCTCGGCTGAAACCTATCCTGCGCTGTCAGGCCGTCCCTCTCGCACTTCGTCTTCGCCTGTGGAAGGCCTGCCTTCCAGCCAGCATGTTGCACGGCCTGGTCGCCACTGGTTTTCCAGAGGCAGGGGCGAAGCTGATTGTCAGCCTGATGGTACAGCAGATCCGGCAGATCGCCAAGTCACACAGCATGTGGACCCATGAAACGAACAGATCAATCATGGACCGACTAGGCATCACTCATCCTGCCCAACACCTGGAGCGGGCCTTACGATGTCAGCAGAAAGCAGACTCGCATCTTGGGGAAGCCCTGTCCCCGCCAGAGGCCCAGCTTCGGTGGCGTCACATGCTGAGGGCGCAAATAGGGCAAGCCCTGCTGTCGGGTTACTCGGCCTCCACTGCGCGTTTGGTACCAGTTGATAGCATTATACATGAAACCTTCGCCTGCTCGGAGTGTGGACTTCGATTCAGTACGGCAGCTGCTCTCAAACGACATGTGTACTTGCAGCATATGGAGGACGAGCAACAGCTCACTCGACGTCAGGAAGTCGAGGAACAATCCCTGCACTCCCACATGGAGCATGCTCGACAAGGGCTCCCATGGTGTCGACATTGTGACAAACGGTTAAAGGCCAGAATCAGCGCCAGCCTGCCAAACCCTACAACAGGTCTTGGGGAAATCCGCAAGGCGGCAATCAGAACAGGTGGGCTCAGGAGGAGCCATGGAACATGGAGGCACGCCAGCACCCCATGCAGAAGGAGCTGCAGCAGTTGAGAACAAGAGTCGATCTGCTGACCACCCTGCTTCTTCGCCACGACAACCAGCTGGCGATCCTTCGACTCGACACAGCCTTTATGTTGTTCATCAGGACGGATGTGAAGGGCAACTTGGCGGCGATGTTGTACCAGACGGGCCTCAAATGGAAGCAAGCCAAGGAGCGGGATCCAACCAAGCTCGAATCCCCGATGCGGGTGGTGCTGATCCAGGCGCTTCTAACAACGGTGGCTTCGAGGTTCGAGCAGCTGATGTCCACCTCGGAGATCCGGGCCAATGCGGCCCAACTGGGCTGGCTCAACGAGGAGGCCACGCTGATTCACAGCATGAAGTGGGACGGAGATGCCAAGAAACACGTCGTCAACCCGATCGGCAACTCGCTCGACCCCCAGAAGGCGCTGAGCATGCTCGAGGAGCTGATCGTTCTCTGCAAGGCCGACCTAGTGGTCAATCGCTTTCATGCCACGCGCCCCATCACCCAGGAGATCGATTCGTCGTTGCTCCCGATGATGCTGGATGTGGGCCTTCGGTCCCAAGAGGCGGACAAAGCACGGCTGATACTCAAGGACCTGTGCGGGTCCGCGATCTGGCTAGTGGCGGGTGTGAGCATGAGACCGGATCGGCTCCAGCGAGGACCCTTGGCCCAGAGGCTCGCCTTGTTGATGGAGAAGTCCCGCTGATGACACGTCTCATGCAGATGAGACTGGGGAATGAGGGGAACTACTGCTACTGCAATGCCTTAGTCCGGTGTATCCTCATTCTTGCGGCGAAGACCGCTGATCCTGCAGGATTCTTCCCACGAGGTCTTCGGTCTGTGTCTAAAGGGCTTCTCATGTCTAGGAGTGTTGTCCATGTGTGGAAGAATCCGTTCTGGAGAATGATGATGCGTGACTGGGTGCAGCCAGAGGCTCAGCATGATATTGCTGAGTTTTTACAGTTTGTGGTTCGGAAACACCCGAGCTTGGAAGACAGAGTCAGCATTATGTGGGCTTCCAAACTTGAGGAGCAGGGGGCTGTACAGTGTCACGACGGCGGGTGCTTCACCCCCCTGCTTCTCAGGCCACCTGCTCACTGCTTTAGAGGTGATGGTTGTGTTACCATGCAGCAGCTTGTGGATCTGTGGCATAGACAAGACCGTGTACATGCTGCTCTCAGATGTCCCGAGAACCTCGTTCTGCAGGCGAGTCGGTTCCATTTTGATGTGCACACTGGTGTTGCTGAGAAGCTTTGCTACGAGATTATTCCTGATCATGAATTGTTGTTTCCTGTTTTCGAAGAGGGCATGTCTATCGTGCACATGAGGTTCCGACTCTGCTCCTTTGCACTTCATTTAGGAAGTGCGCCTGACCGTGGCCACTACAAGGTGATCATGCTCGCGAGTGATAACTCTCTTCATGTGTTTGATGATAATGTTGTTGCTACTTCGTGCTGTGACCGGGAGTTTCGGGATTCGTGCCGGAACTCGTATCTTTTCTTTTACCATCGACATGTGCGAGCATGACGACGGAGCCTTGCTTAGGGTGTGCGCACCGGAGGCTTTTGTCATCTCTTTTCGGGGGCCTCTATGGCTCTGAGTTCCCTGGGATGTGCATAGCACAGCACAAAGCCGAGGCATGTGCCTTGTCCCAATCAACGTTCGCAAAGACCGGGACTTCTTTGCTGCGCGGAAGTGAAGTATGTATGTATGTATGTATGTATGTATGTAATTTATATATATATATCCAAAAAAAGGAAAGACTTATAGACCTTCAAGGATGCTTATATACGCACTTTAAGGCCTAAGTCGGCCTAAGCATATAGGCACATGGAGCCTTAGTTGTAAGCATGGACGCAGCCGCTGGAACCCGAACCTAGGGGCCTCACGAAGATGGTGTCTTGGGAGGTGCATGTTAGGGTTTAGGGTTCAGGGTTTTAGGGTTTAGGGTTCAGGGCTTAGGGTAAAAGATTGAAGTTGTGACTACACGTACTGGGGTCATCACCTAACTACTGTAAGTCCCCTGATTCTTCGTATGGGCCGTAAATTCCCACTCCGCAACTGCCAGACTTTGAACTCAACGCACCTGAAGCCTAAATAGAACAGGGTTTCGGGTACTCTGGTTATGTTCAAACAACCTAAATAATTGGAATAGTGCTTTGGGGAACATGGCATAGCTATGACAAAGTATCCTGAGGCTTAAAAAGCCTGAACCGCAAGAACAATGCCAAGTCCCTTGAGGCTGCCATCCCAATCCCTGAACTGTCCCCATTTACAAGTATTAGTTTCACCCGGGGATACCGGTCAAAGCCAACCAGGTTGCTGTCTGAAGCAACGTGATCTTTAAGTATAACTGTTACATTGACACACTCAAAGCAGGGGTGTTGGAAACTTTCGTCATTACCAAGTCTGCAGACAGCTAAACACGATCCCGGATCAAAAATCCTCGTCAAGGAAGATGCAGGTGCCCGCGTGCATGCAGTTACTATGGTATTATAACATGCGAAACGTTTTATGTAGCCAACTGCGCACACCAGCCAACGACCTCACTTCCGGTAATCGGTTGTCCACTACCCGACGGCTCGGAATACAATGAAATGTGAGTATTTCCCAGCCATGCCTGCATCTCTCTTCTGGGCTTGCACGAGGACCTGCCAGGACCGACCCAGAAGCCTCAAACAAAATCTGCACGAAAACAGTTGTCGAATATTTTCGAGTGTAATTTTCCTCAGGAATCGCTATTCTGACGACATGTTCGAACTATAGTATAGGGTCATATAGAATATAGCAATCCTTATTCTAAAGTACAATACTGCATTACGAAGCAGGAAGCCTTGAAGCCTGGCGCCCTGAGACTCTCGGGTTTGGAGCTGAGGGCTCAGGGTCAAAGACCAGAGATATGTAAGGGTTTGGGGCTAGGGTTTAGGGCTCGGGGATGTTTAGGGCTTGATGTAAGGGTTTAGGGCTAGGGTTTAGGGCTCAGGGATGTTTAGGGCTTGTAAAAGGATTCAAGGATCAGAAAAAGAACCGGAGCAAACCAAAGAAGGGCCCAGGGCGTTTAGTTGGAAGCTTCGCCCCGGATACAAACGTGCAAGCTGACAAGACATGATCCGTCGTGAGGAACAGAAATACGGGCCATACTTCAAATCCCTGTACACAACCGTTTCTATGGCCTTCCTTATTCAGGCTCGATTGTAACGAATACTGCCCACGCAACGATCGTGAATTGGAAACGAAAGCAACCACCCACAGGGCTGTAATCTAGAAAACTGGATGCCTCCCCTGCCCATGATATTCCGCAGAATGTCTTGGTGTTTACAGCATCATCACCTTGAAGCTCGGCAAAACCGAATTTGCTGATCAGTAATCCTTACCACCCCGACAGCAAAGTTTTCTGAGTGCGGTATCCTTCGGCACTCCTTCCTTCAGCTTGTTTCTAGAGAAGACATAGCTTCAGCACGGTGTCACTAGAAGCAAGTTGAACGAAGGAGTGCACCAACAGTGGGCTTGAACCCAAGTTTGGCATGAACAGCCCTAAACCCTAAACCCCTAACCCATCAACCCAGTCAAAAGGGCCAACACTCTCCGGACAGGCTGCGAAGTTGGCAGTGACATGCAGCATCAACAATCATCGACAGTCCCCACACCAGACCTGAAAACCAAAAATAACCTAAACCCTTGCGGTTACCCTCTGAAATGTAGCCCTTACATAAGCAAGCCTTTAACACGTCTGTGATGCTGTTACTTTACCTTCTTCACCCAAGTAGCCGAAAGTGGAGCGGGGACGCCGTCGTTGGCCGAGGGGGGTAGCACCCGCCCCTCCTGCTGGTGTTCGTCTAATCGCCGAAGCTTTGGGGTTTAGGGATTCGGGCTTATGGTATTAGAATTGTAGGGTTTAGGGTTTAGAGAATAGGGTTTAGGGTTATAGGGTTTAGGGTTTAGGGTTTTAGGGTTTTAGGGTTTAGGGTTTAGGATTTAGGGTATAAGGGTACCATAAACGGGTAGTTTGGGGTTTGGGGCTTGGTTTAGGGTTTGGGGAT